TATCTTTCCATGATCGCCATGGCAGAGTTCCCGGCTCCGCCCACCTGCTGCGTTATTACCGGACCCCCCAACCTACGTATCGGGTATTGATCACTTCGTAGACAATGCAGCTTCCCGGACGCACCGGACAACAGGAAGTGCTCGCCAACCAAATCTGCTCTCCCGGAAACGACTTCCTTCTACGGGGGGGCAAATGAACCGGAATCAATCAGCACTCGGTAAAACATTTCGAACAATCGGACAGATCGCCATACATGCTGCAATAATTATAACGGACGTTTCGGGGGCCACGCAGGGATCAGGGCAACGATGTAACGCATGAGCTACGAGGAGAAGTGTCCATGCCACACCCCATGCGACGGACCCGGACAACCTGTGAATGTGCAACTAACGTAAACTGCCGGCGCAATGTAACTACCCGACATAAAGAATAAATCTGGATACAACGCGTCCACATGCAGAATATCCAGAAACATGTCACTTGTATGGCCTCACTCACAGTGCCGCGCGTACATGCGCCCGTACATGCGCATTGTACCATATGCGACCTACGCAAATAAATGGCTCCATGCACACAGCCGTATATTTGCGCAGCGTATATATATGCGCGAAAACAGAATGGAACAGAGATGCGTCCGGGCAGCGTATTTCTGCGCATATACGCGCGTACAGCACATAAAAAATTCCATTACGAGTGATGCATTCTGGGATTGCATGTAGTGCACGCATAGACGCAATATACAATGTTGCTTGCGTCGTGTGTGAATGAGGCCTATGTCTGAGATCCAGGAAAATAATTCCGCTTCTGCCGCCCCGATTTCCCTTCCTCATGGAGATTGAACATTGTTCTCAGATAATTGAACGATCGCCTCGCATCGCGCCCGACCGACCGACCACCGCCATCCCGCCGACCAGATACATCGTCACCGCGCAGGACTGATAATAACTTCGCGGATTCCGCGTCGGCACTTTTTTTTTTTTTCCATCTTCAAATCTATTAATTTTCTTATCGGTAATTCTTCCTAATGAGTTTTCAGGTGTTAAATAAAACATTGCGACGCGAGGACATGGACGCCGGCGTTAAAATTTAAAGCGTTTCTCTTTTTTTTTTGCCTGGGTGTTATTAATGCATTGACTGTGAAATAAAGCGCTGTTGTAATCAATAAAATAAGACGAAATCTGCTTTTATGCGTTCCCCTGACGATAAGTATAAGCTGGAAACGCATTGATGTGGAAGAGGATTAATGCAGCAAAATGACATCAATTATTAAAAGGAGGTTTTTTTTTTTTTTTTGATTTTTTTTCTTTTTGATTTTTTTTTCAAACCAACAAATTCTGA